AGTATCTGCGCTATATATCGGTAACGGTAAGTCCTACGGGATCGCCGTTGGTACAGAAATGATCACCGTCGAAAAAAAAATTATTTTTCTCGGTTTGTCCGTTCTCCGTTCTCGTCTTTTGGTTTTTCCTGAATAACTTCCGAACCGTTAGAGCTACAAAATTAAAATTTGCCTCGTTTTTAACCCTCCACGAGGCACATAAGCTTATAAGTAATGGCCCTGATCTGACGCCAGCATCCATTTTTTTTTCGATTGTTTTTTGGACATTGCTATGAAACACGATAAGTGTCCGCAATTTGAAGCAATCGACTTCATACTTTTCACAAATGAAAATGGGGGGCTGGGGATCGGAAGTATTCCAAAAAAATAAAAAATCGCGTGTGCAATGGTCTACAAAAAACATCATTTTTCAAAAACCGTTTAACAAACGAAAAAAATTCTTGAACCAGAAGACGCAGAAGATACGACTCTATAAATTTTTGTTCTTTGTTTATTCTTGATAATTTTTTAAAAATATACAGGGTGCGCCGCAAATTCAAAAAAAGTGAAAAATGGGTCCCCCTATTATTGAAAATTGGTTATAACTGAAAGACTATGATTCAGACCTCACTTTCTTTTATATTGCGATATAGCCCGCATATACAGCAAAAACTTTTGTATTTAAGGTTTTCACCTATTGTACAGGGTGTTCCCGATGTTCCCTGCTAAATGAGAAATGTGTTAAGTGTCCTAAATTTGCAGATATCAACTTCAAATTTAGCAGAGAAATAAAAGTCCGTGTCCACATTTGAACGGTAGAGATTGGGTGCAAGCAAATTTTACCAAGTATTTAAAAAAAAGAATTTTCTAATCTAAATCTAAAAGACCCGGAAAATTGTTTTCTTACAGAGTAAATTATTAGCCGCAAATCAAAAACCGTAAAAAATAGGGCTAATGGGTTCGAAGAGTGTCATAGGCCACATAAAGAGCTATATTTTTTGTATTTGCGGTTCTCGTCTATCACATACGCTGCTCGGGATATTTGAAAAAATCCATATCGAAATCGTTATTCCGGGACTGTCAAGAGGCGATGACGTCATTGACGCACGTTATGGCGCACTGCGTGGTTTCAGAAAAAACTTATTTTCTCGGAAACCATTTACTATTTTCAAAAAATTCTTGAACCAGGAAACGTGCAAGATCCAGAGTTAAAGATGGGGTCATTTTATTTCAGGTTTCGTCAGTTAGACATGGCGCGAGATATTTGCAAAAATATCATTCGACAACGCCATTATTTGTGTAAATTTTAATATTTACCGCTTTGAAGTTCGACGAGATGTGAATGACATTTTATACATCGATTTTGCGAATGTTCCATAGTGGTCCGCAGGAGTACGATAGAAAAACAATGCGTCCCTTTACCACACAAAACCGCGAATCTCTTGCCTTTTATAATAAAAAGCTGCTTCGCGCTACGCGCTACGAACTTGCCCCGCCCAGCGACGATTTTTCGAAAGACCTATTTACCCGAAGAATTTACAATTAAAAAAATGTTTAACTTTGTTGAGGTAACGCCGAGCTTAATATAGCATTTGGATGTCCCCGTACTGATATTTGTACAACATGTGGCGAATTTCAGATTAAGATTGAGATAAAAGATTAATGTCTGCTGAAAAGGATACCGATGAGATTACAAAAATTAACTGTAATGAAGGATCTGCATGAGAGCAAGGTTAAGACGTTATATCGTCGAAAGAGGGAAGCAAAAAGAGCTGCGAAAAAAAACTAACAAAAAGGAAGCCATCTGCATTGCTTTTGCATCAAATATTTCCATAAACGGCAGTTATCCATGTAAGCTCATAACGTTATGTTTCTTCTTCTGATGTTTAGGAGCAAATCGCTAAAAAAGGATCAAAAGAAGTGGCTTTTTTTCTTTTCCATTTCATCAGTGCTTACTTAGAAGAAGATATTTCAGGACTGAAAATCTTTTGCGAATCTACAAGCGAACAAAATAAAAATGTTGTCATTTTTCGAATTATCCATTTTATTGTTAACAACAAAATTCATTGCTTAAGAGAAGTTAAAATCACATGTCCTGTAAGAGGACACTTCTATTTGGAGTGTCACAAAAACGCAGATCATTAGAAATTCCCGCTGCAAAACCATCGCCTTTCATGGTAGTCAGTATATTACAAAACATTTTTTTGAATTGTTAATCTTTTTTGGACTCATGAGCCTCATCCGGTGTTATAGTCCAAGAGTGGTGATATTTTTGAACGACCTAGCACATTACTAACAAGTAAGTTTGTAGTACTTACGCTGATGTAAAAATTTTAAACATATACAAATAATTCATAAAAATACTACTTGCCCGCTGTAGTTCCTGTTATAAAAATAAATGTGACATGGCTGGTTCTAGTTTGTTTCAGATGAAGTAGCTGTTTTCTTCCCTGTAAAACATGAACTTCGTTTGTTTTTTGCAAACAAATTCGTTAAAAGTTTTTCTTTTAGCTTGAGTACTAAATTCATAACTTTAGCTTTCTGGAAACATTTCAATTATTTCTAATTTTAGGGCAACAATAGGTCGTTTTGAAGATTAAGATGGTATTTACTCGTTTTGAAAATAAAGTGACATGTCTGTTTTTTCCCTGTACCTTTCAAATAACGATTTCAAAAGTAACAAAGAAAATTCCTGTGTCAATTTACGACATCCCTGGTGAAAAGGGCCGAACATGTGTTTATTTGTGAACAAAATGCAATAAGTTTTTGGAATTATTGGAAAAAAGGCGTGTTTGGTACAAAAGAGACAAAAAATGTGAAAAATGCATTTTGCATTTTCACCGTTCCTTAATAATCGGTAACGGCTAGTTCTGTTAACAATTCGGTTATTGTTACCATCTTCTGTGCCCCTGGTACATATTGGCGCCAAGCGACACCCTATGCAGTACTCCCCACTCTTCAGAAGTCATTTCGCCCACACGATTATTTATTTCAATCAAGTGATAAAGAATCCTTAAATTAGTATGGATGTGGACGATTCCACTTTGAATTAAAAAGCACCAATAACGGACAATATTATGAGCATTTCCCACTGAATGTTGCGGTAAAAATGTGAATTTTAGAATGTTTCATTGGGATTTTATGTTTATCAAAATTATTGTCCTATTATGTCTTTTACTAGCAGAGTATCTAGAAATGGTCCACACAATGATGGTAAAATTGAAAATAAGCAACTAGATTCTGAATGAAACTTCAAAATTTGGTGTTAAAAAGGATATATTTTAAGACCCTTCTTTGATTGATAAGATTATAACTAAAAAGTAGTTTCAAATAACTCTGAACTCTATCTATCCCATACACATCGAAACCAAAATTTATAATAAAACAATTAAGTACATAGGAAAACCTGGCAAGAAAATTTCGAAAAATCTCAATTGCTTTTAAAACTGAAAACACCCTGGAAAAAATTTTACAAAACCATAAAACCAAATTACCAAACAGTCAAGAATCCGGAGACTACAGGGTGAAATGTGGATCGTGACCCAAAATGTATATCCGACAAACAGGTACAACATTTAAGAAACGCATTATCAAACATAAAAGAGCATATCAATATAAAAGTTCGGATTCTTACTTATGCCATTCATTTAAATTTACAAATTTCACAAGTTTGACGATAATTTGTATATTTTACGCAATGCGTCAAAAAGCAAAAAACTGAATTTGACGGACTATGGAGATTATCAAAATGAGATATTCGAATGAATCTATTATTTAATAACGAACTGGATTTAAATGGGACTCCCTTGTTAAATTTAAATTTATAATGCTACAACGGTATTTAAGATCGATTACCACTTCTATATATAGACGTAGAAATAAACCAACAATCATAAATCAATATTTTTAAATGTCGACAAATAAAAATTATATTATGCATTTTGAATTTACAATAAATCTTCTGGGCCCATACATTTTTATGCGAAATTGTTTTAGGCCATTTCTGGTTTTTAAATTTTTATCCTTTCATATTTCCACAAATTCCGCATTTATGCTCTTTTTTTGGCGTGTTTGTGGTTATTCCGAAACCAGGAAAATCAAAATCACGCGTTTCCGTGGGTTTTCGTTTATAATTTTCCAGTTAATTCGTGACCCAACCAAGCGTAACGCGTCGTAAATGTCGAAATATAAAAATGTTAGTTGCGGTGGCGTCCTCTACACGTAACCTTCGGAAACGGAACCCCTCGAAATACACACACGCCCACTACGCATTAGATCGATAATCCTTCTTTCCCCGCACTCTCCTTCGAGTTTCTGCGCTCCCGGTCCGTTTCGCGATTTCGTGACGTAACGCTGCCACGGATGATAGACGGCTGACAGCTGTCGACCTTTCCTCCATTGTGTACGAGACGCTTAAGGCGACACGGGCCGCTTGATCGCGCGCTGGACACTCGCCCCGACTTAGGACACTCAATTATCCGCCCCAATTAGCGACGCCTTACTCGGAGGCAGCGTTGCCACTCACTCGTTGCAGTCAAAAATCAGAACGGCGTACTTGACGACTAGCTAATTATCCGTTGAAAGTGGGACCCGAAGTGACAGCTCACGATAAATTTTATGCTACTCGACGGTCAAATAAACCGTGACACGGCAAAGTTTGATTGGAATGATGTTACTTTATTTCGTATTGATTAAATTGTGTAGGGAAAAGCGACGACCGTTGGCAACGGCGTAACGATCGGAGGCACGGAGAGAAGATAGCCGGACGTGGATGCTGGGAAGCAATGCGGAAAACCGCGAATTCTCGCGACCATCTTCCCTGTTTCAATCAGGCGACCAGAACCGTCGAGTCGGTAGTCAAAACTGACCAATCGAGAAGCCGCCACTGACTGCGACGCTTGGGTTTTTGCCGCCGTTTGACCGGGAAAACGTTTCGAAAGTAGAATGCTCGGTATCCGGATAGCAGAAAACGCGACAGGTAAATCGGCATGCCCAACAGACGTATTGCGTGTGGCCTACGCTCCACCGAGTTATTTTATGGCGACTGCTTCTGTCGACTTTTAAAGATGTTCGAAATTGGAAAAAATTACCGTTGGAATATTAAAAAAAAAAAGGTGAAACGTTAGGGGGATTGCGAGTCGAGCCTACGTCATGTTGCGGAGAAATTAACCGAAACCGCCAAACAAAAATAAATTTAAAGTGAGGTTATTGTATAGTTAAACGAATAAAGAGTTTTCATGCTTTTGAGATTTGTTTCTCTATTATTAGGAAGCTAGCTTGTTTTCACTGTTCACTTTTCAGCTTCATTATGTGTGTTGAGTACTATTTATTTATATGGACGTCCAGGTCGGCCAGAGAATCCGAGATTAAACGTTTTATTAGAAGTTGAGGACAATCTCAATCCTGCATTTTCTGAAGTAGCTTGAAATATTGATGTCAGACAACAAATAGCTTTGCGTGTGTTGAAAGAGCAAAAGTATTATCCATACAAGATTACATTGCATAGGAGCCGAAAAGAAGATGATCTCAGCCATAATGGAAATGGCAATTTAAATCCATTTTTTCATCCTCAGATACTGTTTAATGATGAAGCCACGTTTTGCTTAAATGGTGCGGTAAATCAACATAATTGTAAGTATTGTATATACACAACATCCATAAACAATACATGTTTGGGCAGAGATTTTGAAGAACCAGTTTTATTAAATGACACACCTCATTTTGTGCTTATATATATATATATATATATATATATATATATATATATATATATATATATATATATATATATATATATATATATATATATATATATATATATATATATATATATATATATATATATATATATATATATATATATCTTATTTTTTTAAACATTACCAACGTAATCAAATTTTTTAAACTTCCAAAAACAAAACTAACTATAAGATTTCGTATCATATTTTGAACAATTTCTTTCAATTTTACTGAATGTGAATCTTGTAATATTTTACTTCAAACAAATTACAAACTTCCTCTTGAGTTCTCTTTTTTTGTCTCCATATTCAATAAAAATTAATTCTCAATTCTCTGAGTTTTATTTAGATAGGCCATTTTAACTTTCTTTACACACAGAAATGTAATTGTGTGAATTTAAGAATTTTGCTGGCACTAACTGTTCATTTCAAATTTAAGTTTCTGTTTTTTTTGCTCATAAACAGTAAGGGAATTTTGACTGAAATTTGAGTTAGAATTCGTAACATTAAAAAAAAGAACTTTGTATCGACATCTACTTTTTGACTCACCCTGTATATTTTCTCTATAGCCGTTTTAATTTTTATTGTACATAGCTAAATTGAAATTATTGCATTTTCAGGAACGTCTTGTATGTCAGCGATCAGGTAACTTATCGAAAATATAAAGCTCCGCCTCCAGAATTAATATACAGATTCAGGTGAAAAAGTTTATTTTTTAAATATATATTTACACACTATAAAATTTGTCTTCTTTTTTAAATTTTGAAAAATATATAATAGCATCCACATTGAATAGTTTCTTTCTTGAATTTCTTAACCTAAACCTGTTAGATGGGGCTATATGCAAAATGGAGTATATGAAATTTATATGAATGTATGTATGATATGTAGTTTTTTATGTTCTATCATACAGTTGCTTTAAGTGTTGCAAAACTTACCGTTGCATTAGAACTTTAAAGGGAATCTGATTCTAAAAATGGGACGCGTACATGTTCATATAATAGGTATTTGTTTAGTTTACACTGGAATAGAAAAGATGTAAAACTTTATTGGATCATTATTTTATTGTGTTATGATAGGGTTATGTCCTGAGACTAATTTTAAAAACCAACCATTAGTATACGTTTGGCTGTACGATTTTTGTTTGTATTTTGTTTATTTTTGAAATAAAACGATATCGCGATGGGCGATCATAAATACTGTTCCTATATTTATTAGGGAATCTTTCTGTGTTTATTATCGTATTTAAACTGTAGTATCGAAGTTTTGATGGGTGAATCCATTAACAATATCAAAATGAAACCATACAACGCGTACATGAACTTTATCTGAAAAGAATAATGCTTTTTTCCGCTAGAGGTCTCATGGAATTGTAAAATGCGAACTATTATTGAACACACTGTTAATGATAACGTTTTAGGACTGTATAGACACTGTACTTTGTGTAAGATGGCCGTTTCTATTCTTTTTTATTAAATAATTGTTATGGCGCAAAAACTCTGCACGGAAGTTGATGTTTTATTTTAATATAGATACCAAAGTTGTAAGTTATAACTAATTAATCAATTAATTAACTAATTACTTAAGTTATTATTGCCAAATATTTTCGCATTGCCCGTGTCGTGTTGGAGGCTTTTTATAATAAAAGAGAACTCCACTACAAGTCCTTTATTTAATCTGCGTCATGAGATTCGGACATAAGCGCGCGAGATACCAGGCCGAGAGTCTCACAGTCTAACCTCTCAAGACCATAGAACATATGAACACCACAGACCACCGAACAACCCTGATGCAACAGCCCGGACGGGATTCCATCAGTCTTGATTAAGAATTGTCTGTGTTGAGTAGGCCACTACAGCATATTTTTAACCTGTCCTTGTCTTCAGGTATTTGTCCTGACTTTTGGAAGCTATTTGGTACCGATTCACAAGTGTGGTTCCTAAACTGCTAGATAGATTATTTTGTGAAAGACTTTCGTGGCATTGCAGATCTAACGTAACAAATTTACTCATCTACCAACAATTTTCATTGAACGCCTTTGAGGAGTTTGGTCAAGTGGATTGTGTTACACGGATTTCTCGAAGGCGTTTGACCGAGTTTTTCGTGTGAATCTTGTCTCTAAGCTTAGAGCAATGGGCCTGGGCGCTGAGCTGGTGCAATGGATTAAGTGTTCTCTGTCTGGTCGTACTCAGTTGGTTCGTATTAATAATTATGTCTCAGGTAAAATTGATTTTTTTTCGGGAGTCCCCCAAGGTTCTCACACTGGACACATCCTTTTTAACTTTTTTATAAATGATATTGTTAGTGTAGTTTCGAAATTGCAATGTCTTTTGTTTGCGGATGACTTGAAGATATTCAGGAGGGTTGGATCGCGCGAGGATGCTCTGCTGCTTCAGAGAGACATTGTCTTGCGTTCAATGTAAAAAATGCTATAGTATTAGCTTCGTTCATTCGCTAGTTGAGTATGGTTCGCAACCAATATCGATCAAGCCGTCACTAGTATTAAAGACTTGGGTGTTTGCACTAAAAGCCAACTTACTCCACATTGCCTTAAACTCTTTTATATCTCTTTGGTTCGCTCTAGATTGGAGTATGGTGGTATGGTCTCCATATTATGCCTGCCATATAGATAACATGGAAGCCGTTTTTTAAGATCTTTGGCTTGAAAGGCGCATATCAATAATTGGTATCAGATCAACTACAGTATTATAGCTAAGGCCTTCAATATTTTCTTCAAACCAGAATATTTTAGAGTGATTTAATTTTTCTCTTTAAGATTCTTAATGGTTGGTATTATTGTCCACCTCATTTACATAGCATACAATTTAACGCATATTACAGAAGCTGTGATAACTCAATGTTCCGCATACCTTACCATCGGGCAAATCATGGAGTTGATTCACCCCTTACTAGAATGGTGAAAGCGTGCAACTGTTTAAAGCTTGATCCTTTTGTCGACAGCCTCCGCTCATTTCGTTCTGATGGGTTCCGTTTGAGTGCGTTTGCGTTGTTACAATAATGAAATAAAACACTACATCAAAATCTCACCGTTTTTTGCTTGGGCAAAAGTCCCTCGCAAACATCTTTGAAAATTTGATTTTATTTTCAACTCGTTATGTTCTAAGAGATTCTTTTTTTCCAAATTGGAGACATTGGAAATTTTTGCGAAACATATAACCACAATTTTGTGGTTTTGTATAGTTTCCTAGTTAAATAGAATAAATACGAGTTTGGCAACACTGCGCAGCCGGATGTCATTTGTCGACAATAGTTATTATTTCCCACCAGACCTAAGTTGCACAAGAATGTAATCTAAAATTTAAAAGATGTCTAGGGACGTGTATGAAATATACCCTATATTACTGACAAAAAGGACAGGAAATTATGTTGCCGCACCTATACATTATATATACAAGTAGGAGTACAGGCAAGGGTTATATACCCACAAAAATAGTCTATATGCCTATACTCATTTATCCTGCGCTAGAAAGGTTGTAGATAGGTACCTCAGTGCGCAGTTTAGTCTGCAGACTTTCCCGCTAAGTGAGCGTAACTATGCTTATCAAACGAGGAAATCAACAGATTTAGCTCTGGATGACCTAAACAGGCTGTTCTCCAAGACAACAGAAAACAAGGAGATAGTTGTGGCCACCTTTCTAGACATCAAGGACAGACCACCATAAAGTTGGGGAGGGGATGTCTATGCAGAGGATTCAGTCATTGTGGTGGACGAAAATTTACCAGCACTGTCTAACAGTTAACCCGAAGAACACGACAGTTCTAATTACTAACAATTTGAAAAACGGACATTCAAAGTATCACCGTTAGGGCAACAATTGCACTAGAACGGCGCAGATTAATGTGAGGAAAAAACTGGGGCTTAAATCAAAAAATGACAGTTTGGCGGTACTTAACGATAGGCAATAATATACAGAGAGCAGATAAGAACCATCCAGATGGAGGCGAGAAGACAGTCGAGTAGCGCGCAAAGGCAAAGGGAGTCTAGAGGTCTTAGTGAATATCCACCAATACAGGTCTATATACAATGGGAATCGAGATCCGTGGCATATCAATTATTGCGAGGCCGGCCACCAATGGTGGAAATAGCAAGAAACATATCAAGGAGATAAACGCAAACGAAATCCTAGAGCTGAACAACACCGGAGTATTGTTTGTCAAAGATTACAAGACTCAAATATTGACCAGAAAAAGTTGGAAAAATGGCCCACCAATCTGCAACACAGACGGCTCAAAACCAAAGGAGGAATATATGAACCCTGGACGAAAAAAAAAAATCTAATGGGCGACTTAGCAACAGTGTTCCAAGCAGATCACCGCAATAGAACATTGTGCCAGAGAAATAGAAATGAAAAAGATTCATAACAAGACAATATACTGATAGTCAAACGGCAAATGTCATAGGGCATTAAGCCAGATAGCAAGTCAGCTAAGCTACCAAAGGAAGACCCTAAGAATAATGGTAGGTCTATTGACGGACTGAATGCAGATTCTGCCAAGAGGAGGTGGAAATGGGCATACACATATTGTTAGTGTGAAGGCCTATCGAGTGAGTTTCCATCTGCTGGGCGTAACCAAACCAGGGACGAACCTGTATAACGCTCTATAACTATGGAAAGAGAGAGTCGCAATAGATCCTCTGGGTTGCACTGACGGACAGACAGATTGCTGGCTCTCACAATTTGAGTCTTGATGTCTATGAGGCTAAGGTAAATAATTTCCTTTGTTTTCGAACAATTTTACGGAAGAAGATGAAGGAAGTAGTAAAGAAAAACATAAAAAATAATAACTGCCTTATTTAAAAATTGCAAACGGCACAGTTTAGTTTTCCGCCCACTTACAGTTGACCTCTCCTAAACTCAAGAACGAAAAAGAGAAAAAGAAAGAAAACATAAAAGTCGATCCCTGGGGAGCAAGTGGATTGGATTTTAATTGAATGAACTTGTTTAGGTTTAATTTTCTACAGCAATATTTTGAAATTAAGATTTTTAATTGCATTGTAAACAAAACTTCTACGGATTAAGGTTGATCAATAACACATCAACATCATACTTAATAAATTTTATTTACAGGCACTTTTACATTAGGTAGCTGGGACAAATAAGGTCCCGCAGTGGATTTCACGATAAGTCCGCACTTTTTGAGGCTGCTTATTGTCTGTGGTGTTTGTTCTCTTTAAAATAGTGTTTTCATGAGGTTTTGAGTTGTTTGGTGGATATTTACAACACAACCAAACTTTGCACGCCATAAATAGCTAGCTAACCACCAACTAATCCAACTTTGCATGGAAAGCAGAGAGAGAGAGAACGATGGAACGAGAATGCATGGAGGGTAAAAGCAGCAAGTAAGAGAAATGGAAAAAATTGACAACCGAAACGACGGGCCTTCTTGGCCTATTATGGGGAAATTTTGCCGCAATATTTGAGCCCAACGGGATGCGGAAACTTTGAATAGCGCAGTGAATGCCGTACAAACGGGTCTTTCGCAAAAGTCTGTATCAAGCTACGTACCTACGCGGACAATTACGAATTACATCATAAGCTGTAGAATTCAAAGAACATTGGGTAGAAATTCAATTCTACGAGAGGAAAAGGAACTTGTAGCTCGATTTCTAAGACTGGCTGATATTGGATTACTCCACAGATCATGTGGACACAAAAAGTCTTTAAATTTGCAGAGGTTAGCAGAATAGATTAGTCTGATCGCCAACCTGCCGGGCCTCAAAAAATCGGACACCCCAGATTTACCCAAAAGAATATATAACATGGACGACAAGGGCTGCAGGTACATCCACGGAGCAATCAGCCTTATCATTGAAACGAATAGAACGCTTACATCTTTTTGATCAATGAGCGCGCTAAGAACAACATTATTGTGGGAAGGTAAACACGTTAAACCAGTATGAGCAATGAGCTGTTTGTATTGTTCTTTCGTATAAAACAAAATCACAATAGCTGCGCCAATTTTGATGGAGCCGCTTCAGATTTGGACTACACCATCACAGAAGGAGATAAGCATAAAATAACATTGTTCACGCCTACTTGTCGTGCTGAAATCGAGCATGGAGTAGTAAAGATGAATAATATAATATGGATATAATAATATGGTGCACCAACACTGGGTTTCGAGAATTGATGCCAACGCCCGACACGGTACAACGAAAATTGGAAACACCACACGAGGAATCATTCATCATTCAAAGTGGTGACATAAATCTTATTTGATTATCGCGTATCCAAGAAAACTTCAGAAAAATACACCGAATTTACAGGGAAAAGGAAAAAATGTTTCGTCAAAAAATTCTTGAAAACATTCAAAAATCTTCATGTTCAGATTATAAGATAACACAAAATCATGGACCCATGATGAATGTTTGAGCTATACTGCTTCAGACAATTATTATATACAGACATAAAAATAAGGCCCGTGTGTATTCTTACATGACATACTATTAGTTTTATACCTGCATACGAAACCCTATGTCTAATTAAAAACAGATTACATTATATTGCTTTATGGAAAATTTGAGCCTTATTTGTCGGACTTGCCATAGAATTAAAGAAAGTAGATGATTTCGCCTAAACTAGAGCTTGCATTATCTGCGCTCTCTCGTTCTGCAGAAAATTTATCAGCAAAATATCTAATTTTTCGTTGCTTCTAGCCACCTGCCTACGGATCGCTTGTTTAATTTCCTCTTTCGCCCCCTTATCCGCTCCCCTGGTACCTATTCTCCTTTGACCCCTTAAAAAAAAAACAGCACTATCCTAGAGGGTTCGATGTTAACAATCTTACCCTAGGTGGGGCAATATTTCCAGATGGATTTGACCGCCTTGGGGCGTCCATAAGTATGTTATTTCCTCGAGGATATCCACATTTATTATGTAGTTCTGGAATAGATGATACTGGAAAGATCTATGCTGTTTTATCTCTTCCAGTAAAGAGGGCACATAGTCTTCTTCTTGAGGCCAGTCCAGTTGCACCAGCACGAAAATATGCCCTATCGACAGTTCGCTGTAGTTATGCTTGCCCATGTTTTCCTTGATGCACCTCAGCAATATTTTTACGAAATACTGCAGCATTGCCGACCTTGTCAGCGGCAAATAATGCAAGTGTCTCTGATTTCCGCCGACTATTAAACCGTTGCTGAGAGTACCGACGTTATTTTGCGGCAATAGCGGTAAAGCCAACAGTATCGGTTCCAAACAGGACTAAAATGGAATTTTAAACCTACCAAATAGTAACGCAGTTGCGGAACTTACACTGTAGTTTTTTTTTATGTACAGAATGCTGGCCAAACGCAAATACTTTTGCAAAAATAAGGAGCTGTCGGTGATTTTTTGTAGTAAAAGGTAAGCTTCGTCGTATCTAGCCCTATATAGAGCATAGTCTATAGCGAACACAGACAGCCAGGAGTCTAGTTTCAAGTGGTTTTGCATTTTGAAGAATTCTATAAAATTATAGATATGAAGGTCCCACATCGAAAACGAATCTAGAAGGTCCATTATAATTTTGGATAAATTTGGAAAAATATTTATACATTTACCATGTATTATTCAAATATTTAACCGTTTTACCAAAATATTTCTCATATTTTCTTTTATGAAATATTCGATAATAGGAATTGAGGAAAGATAAAATATTTTTTTCCAGGTTTTTTTTTTAATAGTATATTATGCAACAAGTACGGTAAACGGCATACTATACTTTTTCTACGACCGCTGATTATATCTAAGCATGTATGGTGTGTTTAAAAAGAAACTACAATTTCTATCTCGAACACTTACCATCATACACGATACAAAAATAACATGAACATAATTTTTTTAAGGCTGTCAAGGTAGAATATGTTCTCACCTTAACGTTTTAAAATAAAGGTGAACTTAATGACGTATAATAATTCAAGATATTTTAAACATGAACTGTTGAAATTTAAGTTTTAGTTCTTTCCATCCCTTTATCCCCAAGTTTTTAGACAAACTTGAAGAACAAAGACCTTGCAATATTTGGGCTTACTAACCAAAACAAAAATTTATAATTCTTAAACAGAAGAACGAAATAGTAACCAAGATTACTTAAAAATAAACAACCTAGGGAACCCGTGACTCTTTTCAATGAGACGCAAATTATGTAAAATAACAGTTTGAAAATTGTATTTACATCGGCAATTAAATGAACCCACATTGGAAACCATATTGGAATTTGAGAAATGTAAACTTATATATAAAATAATAAACAATTTACAAAAATCAAACACAAACTTTCAATTGGTTATACACAGAGCTTATATCTGACCCAGAGCACAACTAATGTAGAATTAAATAATTCCATTCACCTAGTATCCAAATGTTATGATGAGATTATTCTTATTTACTTGTTAGAAAATAAAAAAGCTGCCTAATTATTCCTTAAAAGAAATTATTGTAAAACAAAAATTAGTAAACCTTAATACTAGTCAACTTAGCACAGTATTAATTTAGTAACTGAAGTCTCGAGGCCAGAGCTATGAAAACATTGTTTTGAGTCAACCAGCAAATGCATATTTTGTTATTTTTATTTAATAAAGCTGTTAAAAAAAAATTCTTTTACTCTCTTTACGTAATGAATAAATTATCATCATATTTTATATAGTTTGGGGAGCAGGTTTTAAAATTTTTACCTACATTTTTAACAATTTACCAAAATTTTATCAAAATAGTTGCTCCTACTGCTATGATATTGATATTTCTCCATAGGTATTTCCGAGGTGGTTTCCCTCTCGATTTATGCAGATTATCACTGGCTACATTAATCCCAAAACTATGAAAAGACAAATGTTAAATTATTTTCTGAAAATGGGCCCATAGTAGTTCAAATGTACCAAAAATCGTTTCATCAAGAAAAGATTTGGACGATTAATTTCGGCTTCATTTTTAGATTTAATTTAGTATTTCTAGTAAATTAATTACCCCATATTTTCCGACGCAAATCCCAACAATTGACACATGTCACAAAATTGCTGTCAATCGCCACTTCAAAAAATGTATAACCTATTGTTGTGGTTTATTTATTTATTTGAAAATGCCGAAATTTAATGATCTTAGGTGGCATCTAAATGAAAGCTTATTAAAAACTGAGAAAAGGAGATATAAACCGTTCTCATCAATCTGGTAAAGGTGGTAGATTTGAAAAATTTTATTGTGCTCATTCATCAAATTTTATAAAAACCGAACGTTGAAACGGAGACATTAAACAGAAATTCTAAATGGGGTACCACATCTTTTCAAATAAGAATTTCAAGCGGTAGTTAATGATATTTGTGTCAGTTTTTGATTGATGTGGCAAACAGAAACTACAGAGTCGTGGAAAATTTAGGGATTAATTTAATTTTTAATTTAGTTAATTAGTCTTACTTTATTCACATTAAGAATAAATGATTAACACATTTTATATAGTTTAGGCCGCAGATTTAAATTTTTTCACCTATGATTATTAGCAATTTACCAAAATTTGGCTTGGTAGAGCAAAATTTCCACTTTGTTGCACATATTTTCCCATATACAGTGTGGTAATTTTAATGTACAACATATGGTATTTTCTTTATTAACTGCATAACTAAAATACTAATAAAATATTTGCAAGTCAACAGGGTAGCACATAAAATTTATTTCAAAAAAATTGAGGAACATGTTATTAAGAATAGTTGTTGATTTTGAATAATTATTAGTTGTTGTTAGTAGTTGAAATGTACCATCGACTTTGACTTGGGCTTATATATCTGTAGATTTTTTAGTTTTGATTTGGTTCTATTTCTAGTAAATTAGTTACCTCTCTGCATATTTTCTGATGACTGAAGCAAATCCCAACAATTGACACACATTAAAAAATTACTGTGGATCACTTTCAGGTCTGCTTTCTCTACAGACACATAAGGATTTGTGGCATGTATTATATCCTGGTCATTTTTCCTTTTCTTACTTTTCGGTTCCGTAGTGGGATTGGGCAGAGTGGGATCTACAATTTGAAAAATCACGAAAATATTTGATATGAAGTTAAAAATATTACCCGTAAATGCTTCCACCAGCAAGTAAGAAGTGGCGATTTGACCCGGAGGCGATTCTGGCACCAAACTGGCGTTATATTCATAAAGACAGTATAAAAAGAATATAGATATGCAAAAAAACAGTTGCTTATCCTCGGATGGTAATGCGTTTTTTGGTTTGTTTTGACAGAAATTTAGTATTTTCTGCCAGTAGCTTTCTTTCGACCTGCAACGCAAACATGTTATTGGATTTTTTACGGCAGTGTAATCAAAATACACGCCAATTAACTGCCAGATTTATCAGATACGAGTCCCAATGTAGCTGCTTGCCAATGAACTCAATAACCGAAAACAGTTTGGACCAAGTTTCCTCGATTTTAGATTCGTTTTCCTAGAAGTCAAATTTGCTTTTGCTTGTCAATTAGTATGGGGTAAATTTACCTGGACGTTAGCTTTGGACAGTCCCAAACTGCATAGATAGTACTCCATGGCTTTGTTTAGCAATTTGAAAAGCAGCTTTGAAGACAAATCGATTTTTACTTGCTGATTTGCCAACAGGGGAAGTAGCTCGCAAACAAGCAGCTTTCTATAGGGATTTATTGGAAAATGACCATCTACACTGTGTTTTTCTGCACTTATTAATGTATCTACAAGTCTTGGCTTGAAAAAAAATAACAGCAATTGATTAGATATATCATCGGATAACAATTTTAACATATACAATATTGCATGTTACCTGATACAAAAAATATGGCAAATACTAACACCATAGCTTGAAATAGCCGTTGGAAATCGTTGCAACAATAGCAAGAGCAACCGGCAATGTTCCATGGTATCTTCGCAGTGGTCTGCGGTAAATAAAAGCAATTTGTGTTGTACATCCGAAGATATATGCTTAAACATTTCACATAAAAATTGTTTTTCTGGGTCGTCTGTATCCGATTCAGCTCTCAGCGCTGTAGTCAACTTTTCGATTTCAGCCCACAGCTCGGAAGTTTGTTGGAATTTTGTTATGCTAAAAGTATTCATCTCATTTAAACTGAAGGATATTAGATTTCAACTTACAGATCGCTAAAACATTTGGCAGCTTCCTTGACGTTTCCCGCGGTTTTTTCGATAAAATACGCTTCAAACTAAAATGTTTCAAACTAAAGTTAGTCTCGCAAGCGAACCGAATTACCTGAACCGAAAAATTATTTGGATATAAAGTTTTGGCTGTAAGCATCCAAGCTTTAGCCGCGTACGGATCAATCTTCAGGGCGTCTTTCGCCCTTTGTATAACATATTCCTCGTCTGATTGTTCCAAGTCGATTTCCATGTCTGATTACTCTCAAATATAAAAGTTTACTTGTGGAGGCTGACGTCCCAAAAATGTGAGGTTATAAGCACAGAAAAAATAACGGTGATGCATGATGTAACCCATAGACGTATAAATCGGAATATCATTGATAATGACCCAGAACAAATATTTGTTTAAGTTGGAAGTTCGACGGTTATTTATGGAAAGTTCGATGTATACACGAGATTAACCTCATACTCCAGGGTTTACCTATCGCAAATAAGGCACGGCAAAGATAATTAGACGGAACGGGTTGACCATTACAATGGACCGTTACTCTGATGGTTTTCACACCAAATTACGAAAATGACCCGGTCATTACGCGCGCCAACCCATCCGAATAAAAAAATCAAATGTGAGACTGATATAATCTTTTATTCGCCGCTTATTGAGCACCGTCATATCAGTGGCGGAGGTAATGCGCCATTTTGCTGGACACCGAAATTATAAGATATGTGGGCATAGAGATGAAATATATCTTGATACGAAATGTTGGCTATGTTTTTAAATTAACTGCATAAAAAATTTTTTGCAGAGCTCACATTAGTAGTAATTGAAACAAAAAAAAAGGGAGTGTATTTTGAAAAATCAACTGCGGCTGATAACTTTTTCAATTGTACAAAAAAGTTATACATTTTTGCCTTTTCGATGAGTTATGAACTAAAACAGATACAGCAAATTGCAAAATGTTGGCAAATGAGCACTATTCTGAATACGATACTCCTCTATCTTTGAAGGTGAAAGTGTCGAATAATATTTTAATTATGACCGAAGTTAAGACTAAAGTTCATGACATCATATTGTTTTGATGAAATAGTCTTTTTTGGTTGCGGTAGTTTTTATTATTAATTTTTTAACAATTTTACCCTTTCAAACCTCCGTCAGTGACCGCCCATAGGGTCAAAAATATTCCGTAACACCTCCGTCTGTCATTTGTTTCTACTTAGGCCCACTCGATCCGCTTCTTGTTAGGAGCACGGGGATCGTGTTATTTTTTACACATTACCGCGTTTCTTTTTCTGCTCCGTTCACACGGGATCCTTTTTTGTTATTTTCGGCTAATATCCAAGCCGCACCCTTTAAGATGGCGATTACATAACTGGAAAAGTGATGTTAAACAATCGGAGATCGCGCGCCGTAAATTAAACTGTCTAACATTAGAAAAAAATGTGTGCTCAAATCAATATTAATTGTCTTATAGCCCACATTTTACGGGAAAAGTTCTAATTGATGCTCAAAAATCTAAAGCATCCTGTGTATACATGTTGATTCATTAATAAGTGGGAATATTTTAACTGTATAACCCAGAGTTCAAAATATCGAGATTTAACTCAAATCACTTACAAATGTGCTTTACATTCGCTTTTTACAGTCCAAAGTCACTGTAACGGTGACATGTGTTATAACGGTGCAGAAGTTTACCATTTGTTCAAAATCGCGGTCTAAAAATTCTTGGTTCCATATAGAAGAGATGATATTTGTGTTTTCTGGTGGTCGGATTAAGGGTAGATTGGAATGTATCACATAAGCTCGCTATTTGACGGCTTCTGAAATAGGCATTATCCTGAACTTAAAGAAAAATTTCCGATTCTTCTATCTCATTGCATTCCGGTTTACCATTTTCCGTTTTTGAAATTCATAACCACCACTAGCATTAAACCTTTCCTTTAAACACTAAAGAGATTGTCCATATGGTATACGAGCCCAAACAACTAATTGTTCGGACGATGTACGAAATAATAAGAAAATATACTTATACTTATTTTAAATTGTTTTTTTTTGCCTTTTCGATTGAAAAATGAAATCACGCACTTAATGAATAACACATACCAACTTTGCCGACACATAAATATTGGGCCCCATTTAAATCTTTTACTTTAAATCGAACATTAATAAGAAGTAACATCACCTTTCGCGGCAATAACAGCTTTTCGGTGATTTTTGCCTTTAATGTTGAGGATTGTTACGCAAATACGATGCCATAAAGTTTCAATAATATTCAAGTCAGTGCTACTTGATGGCCACGATAAAACTTTCATATTATGGTCCCCAAAACACTTTTTTGTTGTTTTCACAGTATGGCAGTATGTTGGCTTAACCGTTACCGGAAGTGTGGAAGATCAACTCTTCAGCGGAATGTTTTTTGCAACCGCCTCCATTTGCGCAGTCCCGTATATAATTGCGCCACCGATATCCCAGTGGTGAGACTTTCATTTGAAACACTCAGCAATTTTTACTACTTTTCTGCACCCATATGCGGCGAGGACAAAAAAAATTCATCGCGACACGAATACCCACGAACGGTTAAAAGAGAGAAGGCCATTTTCTGTCGCATTTCATTACGGATCGTGCGGGAACGAAAGCAAAGGGATTCCCGCAGCAGCAACAATAGTGGCCCAAATCAAATTGCAATTATTTTTTAAACTCTTTCAATTTCGAAATCGCCTCTATCTCTGGGGCAAAACGGAATGTTCTTTGAATGTTCGGGTGTGCCGATCCGCGCGCGAAACGAACATGCGACGTATGCCCTTTGGCCCTCGGGTCCGCTTGCGTGCCTACAGGACCGTACTCGTCCGCTGCCGCTCAGCATGTGACATGGAGTAAAGTAATATTATATTGACTAATAATCCTCTTCTATCCATCTTAACCTTAGAATAAATAAGAGGACATAATTAATACAAATATTTCCAAGGTTGAGATCAGAAAATCTTCTCCTCCAGTTTGGTTAATTCGCTCTTAGACGTAGTAAATTTGTAAGCGGATTTGAGCAGGGTACTGTAAATTTCACTATTCAAGGTGTCCCATAGGTACATGGCAAAATAGGAAATTCTATAGGTATTACGATTTAACGAAATACTCGAGTTTTTTGGCACAAAATTTGACAAATCGGAGTTTTTCTGACATGAAATAAGAATAATTTTCGGAAAAATTGCACAGGCTGCGACGTAAGGCACTTGTGCATTAAAAATAAGTATCATACGTTGCGCCCTCTACAATTTGCCCCAAAATCATTCATTTCTTGCATCAAAAAATCTCCAATTTGAAAGATTTTGTGCAAAAAGCTCGATTATTTCAGAAATTAGGTAGTTAAAAAAATAAAAAATAAAGTTGCAAATTTGACACCCTGTGTCTTTTGAACTAGGTTCGTTTCGTCTAATCATAATATTTTTACCTAAAGAATGTTCTATTTTGGCATGTACCATTACTTATGGGACACCCCGTATATTTTTTTTTAAGCTGAACTTCATGGGATTATAATATGATAATATTGTCGGACGCGACAAAGTTAAATGGCTGCTGGGCGAATAAAAAATTGGACTTAACTAAACTCAGATTTTCAAATTTGGATTTCGAAAAGCGAAGTCACCACATAATGCTATCAAATCTTTGACATCCCAAACATACGACTCATTAGATTGAAGCAACCCTGCATGTGCGTTTTTTGAGATTTAAGCAAGGCTTTTGATACTGTTTGCCACTTACTTGATAAACTAAACCGTTGTGGACTGAGAGGCAGAGTATTCGAGTGACTGCGTAGTTAATTGTTCAATCGTAAACAGTGCGTAAGCATAGACGTTGTTTTGAGCGATATGAAGACAGTAACATGTGGCGTGCCACAGGGTACAGTTCTCGGACCGCTACTGTTGACGATATACGTAAATGATATGTTAAAATTAGACACCAATAATACAGTTTTCAGTTTTGCCGTTGACACTGTAATTTTTGGACATTGGCAATTATTAAAGGTACAAAATGAGCAGGACTCTCAAAAAGTGGTATCAGTACAATAAACTTACATTGAATTTACAGAAGACCAAATACCTACCTTTCTCATCCTACAAAAATCAGCTTCCAAACTTCGGAAACCTAACAGTTGAAATGACAGAAATTCCGCAAGTAACATCGTTTAATTATCTTGGTATTAGTATTGACTGTCAGCTCAAGTGGAATCTGCAAATTAAATCTGTAGTAGAATAAATCAGACCATTTCTATCAAAATTTAATTACCTACGAGATTTTTTAAGCCGAACTCAATTGGAAAATGTCATTAGTACAAACTCACCTCTCCTATGGCATCCTGTTTTGGGGCGGGGTGTTCCAAAACTGGTTTTTAAAAATAATTTATAGCACACAAAAAAGTCACCCACCGGACCTACTGTTGGAGGAGAATGAAATGAAAATGAGGAGAATGATATACGTCAGTTATACTGCTTTAGTATATTAAAAGACATCCAAAAAGGAAAAAAAAATGTTCTTAATGCTACTCACACTTATCATACCCGGAACAGACAAAACAAGGACGTCTATCCCACAGTTAGAACAAAAACACGGACAACGATCATATACCTATTTCTCACCTAGGTTAGATAGTTACCAGCATATAAAAGAGAACAAACCATCTTTACAAAATTTAAAAAAGATGTCAAAATATGGATGTTTCAGACGGGCAGACGACTTTTTGATGACCTCATTAATTTAAAATATCAAAGGTATATAAGATTTGAATTATATTTAATCATTTAATTACCTAAAACATAAATTATGTATATTCACGTGTTCACATGTTTTTATCCTCGTTTTATTTTTATTTTTTTGTTTATTTTTGCTTACATGTATGAGTAGATGTTATATATATACATACATATCGGTTTAGAACGTCCTTCGACGTTGTCCGACACCTAAACTTCAACCCCGTCGATCTTCACAATCTTCAGGAGTCAGATTTCTTTCACTCATGCATTTATGCATAGCTTTTTGCCACTCTAGTTTTGGCCTGCCTCGTTTTCTTCTACCTGTTGGTTGCCAGTGGAGTATCCTTTTCGGCCATCGGGTATTTGACATTCTTTCCACGTGTCCGTAGCAAGTAAGTTGTTTTTTCTCTATATCCTGCGTTATTGTGCCTTCTAATCCCATCCGCTGTTTTATGGTATCGTTTCTTATTCTTTCTCTTCGTCACATGCGCATTGATCTTCTAATTGCATCCATCTCGACAGCCTCAACCCTTTTCTTATGTTTCTCGGCAATTCTCCATGTCTCTGATCCATATAGGAGGGTGCTTTTTACCATTGCTTC